TTCCGGTATGCTTGTCCTTCGTACGCTTTCGTGCGACTGCTTCGACAGAAAACAACTCGTACTTATTTATATTCGAATCTCTGATACAACCTAAAAATTTGAAATTATTACATGAAAGTCTAAAATGTTCTTATATAGTTTATATGTGTTTTTTATACGATATGTTTTTATTCATTATACATTTTATTATGTTTTATTTTATAATTATGTATTTTATATAAGTTATTTTTATCTATGTTATATTCATAATTATGAAGATAATATTTAGAGATTAATTACTAGAGATAATTTAGAGAAGGGAAACAGAAAGGAATACAGAATTTAAATAAAAAATTAGCTTAATTGTCGTAATTTAAATCAATGCTGTTTAAGTTTACAAATGACTAAAATATTAATAATATAATATTAATTTATTATATTAATAATATAATAAATTAAATATTAGCTTCAATGACTAAAATATTTTTTGTAATTAAAAAAAAATTGAGTGTTTTGAATTGAGAAATTTGGAGAGATTTGAAGAATTATGGAGATTTTATGTCTGTATATATATGTCTACATAAAAAAAAAATAACTGATATATATAAAAATATACATATAAAAAATTTATGCAATGAATCATTATACACATTAACAATTCTTTTATGTATTATAATTTTAAATATATCACTTTTCAATTATCTTTTCTGATCAAATAAGTGTAAGTTAAAATTGTTAACTTGAGTTAATCATATATCATCCTTATAATTTCACTATATTATACATAATTTCAACTTAATTATCTTTTCTCAGTTAAAGTGTATTTTCATAATATCGAAAAAATATAAGTCTCGATTTAAAATAACAAACTCGAAGCGGCCATGATGAATCAACTTGCAAAAAAATGGTAATAATCTGTCTTATACCGATCACTATGACTCTCAGCCGTCAATTATTTCAAACCAACGAGCATCGATGATCCCTTGTACATATAATACACACACACACATATATATATATATTCCATATCACGTCGCTCGATAATTATTCGACACTCGAGTAACCTTCGCTCTCCTCTCCGGTTCGCGAGTCTGCTGCTTCTTGTACGGCCAAATTGCAGATTCTTATCTCCTCTTCCAATCAATTTTCGATTGATCCACGGCGAACGAAAGGCGGTGGGTAAAAATGAAGTCCGGGAGGAAGAGCATTAATGCATTTATACCTGAAGAGTATACATGGGTCTCTCCGTCCAGCCGGGTGTTTCACGCAGCTGCTCGATCTGACGGCGACG